CATCTATTGTCTTTATCTCCCCTCCTTCTTTTTTGTGTTTTTTTACTCTCTTGTAACACCTCTAATCTTCGGCTCTTATATGACTTCATTATGTTGCAAGTGCTGTAAAACACTTACTAAAACTAAACTAAAACTGATTGGTCTCCAGGCCTATTCGACCGTTGGCACGCCCGACTACATTGCTCCTGAAGTGTTTATGCAAACTGGTTACTCCAGCTCCTGTGATTGGTGGTCTCTAGGAGTCATCATGTATGAGATGCTTATAGGTGAGTACTGTTGCAGGTGCTGTGTGGGTCATGTATGACATGCTTGTAGGTGAGCCATGAAGTTGAGTTTAGTGAGTCTCATGTGGGATGTTGTTATGTGAGTCACTTTGGATGTATTGTCTGTGTGAGTCACTTTGGATGTATTGTCTGTGTGAGTCACCTTGGATGTATTTTCTGTGTGAGTCACCTTGGATGTATTGTCTGTGTGAGTCACCTTGGATGTATTGTCTGTGTGAGTCACTTTGGATGTATTGTCTATGTGAGTCACCTCTGATGTATTGTCTGTGTGAGTCACCTCTGATGTATTGTCTGTGTGAGTCACTTTGGATGTATTGTCTATGTGAATCACCTCTGATGTATTGTCTGTGTGAGTCACTTTGATGTATTGTCTGTGTGAGTCACTTTGGATGTATTGTCTGTGTGAGTCACTTTGGATGTATTGTCTATGTGAGTCACCTCTGATGTATTGTCTGTGTGAGTCACCTTGGATGTATTGTTTCGAGTAGGTAATTCTTGACCTCCACTGGTAGTTCTACTTCTCTCCCCTTTGTTCTTCTGTTTTTTTCTCAACCCTGGATGACCATATATTGTGTTGGTGTTCAAATGTTTTTATGTGAGTCACCTATGGTATGTTATTGCCCCCCCCCTCTCCCCCGGCAGTTCTACCGACTGAAGTGTCTTTAGGCCTTTTTCAAAGGGAAGATATTAATGTGTTCTCTTGCACAGTAGAATTGTAAGTGGGCTGATTTATCAATGTCATGCTCTATCTCTGCTGGAACAACATGGGGGGAACTGCTGCTTTTTCTTCCCTCATCCTTACTATCGTCATTGTTCTCTACTTTTGTATGTTTGTCAGTCACTTGTGAACTGCTATTTCCGAGTGCCTTGATAGTCGAAGCAGACTTTGTGCTGTTGAGGCTAGAGAGGTGAACAGAGTAAACCTGATTCCCTGTTTAGACTTCTCTGTTGACTTCCACCCCTTGGCGCTCATGTGACCTTATGCAGTTGCAAGTGCCGTAAAACCTTAATAAAACAACTAAATCAAGGTATGTTGTTAAATGATTCTCTGAGGTGGGTGGTTGATGGGTGCTCTGATGTGGTTTGTTCCTTCTTTCCTTTTAGATGTGTATTGTCCTTATCTCTCCTCTTTCTTTTGTTTGTATGCTATCATCATGCAACACCTCTAATCTTCAGCACTTATTCATAATAAATATGACCTGATTGTGTTGCAAGTGCCAATAAATTCTTTTAAAAAAACCCTCACGTATATGGCCATATTATTTGTGACTCCACGGTGGAATCAGGCGTTTGGCTATTTTTGGGTATATGCGCGTTAAAAGTATCATCATAAATCTTCTTCATTGGTCTTGAATTTGGTGCAAAAAATGCCCATCTATCTTGAATAGAAGTTGAGATATTTACAATTGAAGGAGGTGGGGATCACTTTGTTTTAGAGGTAAAATTCATGAGAAAGTGGCCGCCAAAGTTGGGTAGCTTCAGTGGCTTGAGAGTCCTTGAAAAAGGAAAATAATATTGTTGTCGTTCTTCAAATGTTTTTATGTGAGTCACCAATGGTATTTTGTTATGCAAGTCACTGATTTATGGATGGCCAAGTTAGCATTTTGTGTTTGACGTCTGTTGAGAAAACATACGTACTGTGTCGCTGTGATTTTTGTCTTCTGTTTGTGTTTTATGTCCCTGAGATGTGTGTTGTTCTTGTGAAATGACTTCTTATATATGTGCTTTTCTTTACTCAAGCAAAAAGAAGCTTTAAGTAGTCTCTTTTGAGTTTCTGAGATCCTTCAACAATTGAAATGCACAAAAATCCCTTATGCCAGTATTATTATTTAGTCTTTGAGATGACCTGTAAAATGAGGTCAAACCGCAGGTTTCATCTCTCGTTCATGCTCCCCACCTCCAGGCTACCCTCCATTCTGCTCAGAGAACGCACAAGAAACCTACCGAAAAGTCATCAACTGGAGAGAAATGTTGGTCTTCCCTCCGGAGATGCCCATCTCCAACGAGTCCAGAGATCTCATAAAAAGGTAAGTTCATTCCTGTACATCTCTCACCCAGACACAAACATGAACACGCCCCAATACAACACACAGAAAGACTCTGCCACAAGTCACAAGACAAAAATGACTGACACACGTAGCTAGACACGATCACACAACTCGCCTATACACAAAGTTTAGACAGTACAACACAGTACAACGTGATCACACACCTATGCACATCTAAACACTACACACATATGCTACAGCACGGTTCACCCACACTCACAGCTCAATTGTATCCATGCTATTTTTAGACAAAAAACTGGTTGCTCTTATAAAATCAGCCAACATAAAATGCGCATAGCCTGACCCAAATTCTGCCAAATCAAGACTCGCTCCTCCCCTTAATGCACCGCTCTTGTGCATTCAACACAACCCACTTGTGCTCATCTGGCAGACCACCCGTCCATAAAAACAGCATGTCTGTACGTAGAGTTAGATGGACACTGGTACGCTGCCCCCCCTTCCCTTTTTTTGTTCGGATTTGATGGTGCTTCTGATGTTTGTCTATGTTTACAGATTTTGCTGTGATCCAGAGCACAGGATTGGTGCTAATGGTGTGGAAGAAATCAAGGCTCATCTCTTTTTCCGTGGGGTAGACTGGGAGCATATCAGGTATGTAGATGGCAATGAAGGGCATATGCACACGCTAACACGCTTGCACCCACTTGCTCTCTCAGTTAATGCACCGATCATTCCTTTCATGGAAAGGGGGCCCAGCTAGTATACTGATAAGTTCTTGTAGATAAAAAGGAGCAGTTTTATTTACACATTTGAAACACACGACACAGATTTTAAATATTATTCTTTTACAGGGAGCCAATGCAGTTCTTTTAATAGTTGAGTGACATGGTCTCGATTTTTAGAGCTTGTTTTCAATCTGGCGGCATTGTTTTGAATGACTTGTAAACGATTAAAATAGTTGTTGTTCAGACCTGCTAGGAATGAGTTACAATAGTCTTACCTAGATAGGATAAGAGATGTTACCAATGTTTTTGTGGTCTCTTCGTTTAGGTACTTTCGAACTCGGTCTATCCTTCTCAGCTCTGTGACACTTTTCGCCCGATTTTGTTACCTTTAGTAAGGGTGACTCAGCGTCACGGGGTTAATGATCCCTGAAGTGATTTTGCCAGTGCGGGTTAAAAAGTTCGCATCTCTGTCTACGTTTGAAACATTATAACTTCTTCCTCATCGCACACTGAAACCATTTCACTGATGTGCTAAAAGCTCAATGTCTTGAAGTTTATTCTGCGTTGAATGGTTAATTTCTGTGCCTTAGTTTTTGTTCTAGACAAGTGTTATGTAGAGTACCCAATTTGTTCTATTTTACTTACATACTTATGAATAAATGATTGTTTATTTTAAAATAGCAGAACAGATCTCTCCAAAATCTGTGTTAAACTGACTATGAATATCATGTCTTTTACCATGAGAAATCTTAAATCTGCACAAGTAGTAATAGTCAAGTTATAAGAGAAGAAAGATACGCCTCTGAATTTTTAAAAGTAAACACACTGAGAGTTAGCTCTTGCTTTACCGTTAAACAAGAGAAAGTTACTCTGCGTTTGTTCATGAATCATGCTGTGTCTGTGGCAGCCTGCATACAACTAAGAAAGATATATTATGCGATTTTTAAAAAACACAAAACTGTGTAAATACATGGGAAGAGATAAACTTCTTGTATGGAATAAAAATAATGGCGGCAGCTAACACGTTCATTTTTAGTTTTTATGTTGGAAATATGCAAGGACACTTTTGAATGTAAAGAAATCAGAACATTGTCAGTTATTGCAAATAGTCGTAGAAACGAAAAAAAAAGCTGGAAAAGCTTGGTGCTGATTCAGTGTCCCTGGAAAGCTAAAAATTATTCTTATGATTCAATTACGAGAAGTCATCCCTGTTATTCAGTTAACTTACAAAACCTAGACTCCTCGTTTTAAGAAAAGTAAGGAATTTCTGGAGTGGTGGAACAGACACTGTTCGTTTGTGTATTGCAATGGAGATGTATTCTGGCACTAAAATCGATTTGTACTTCTTCATAGAGAGACAACAGGGTAATATTTATAAACTTTCGAAAAAATATGTGAATATTCACGATTATATCAGACACATAAAGTTGTATTCATATAAGTGTGTATGCGTGTGTTTGTGCGTGTGTATGTGTATATGTGTGTGTGTTTGTGTGTATATGAGTGTGTGTGTGTGAGTGTGTGTGTGTCGCGTGCATGAATATTTTTCTTCATTTATGTAAAGCGCCTAGAGCTGTGTTTACACGGGAGTGGGCGCTATAGAAATGATCATCATTATTATTATTATTATTATTTGGAGGAATTACTTCATAGCAAATTGTGTTCCAGATGGATAAAGTTGCAAAGTTACAGCTTTCTACTATATGCGCAGATATAATCTTTTCTGAGTATCTGCACCAATGTTTTGTCGTTCATGTTCCAAAAGTTCGACAGTTTTTGTCGTGCCATATTTTTATAGGGGGCCTTTTTTTCATTCGCACTTATCCTAAAAAAATTACAATTTAGCATTGCTGACTTTAGCCCGTCTAACGAAATAACCAGACAAGTTACAATATCCGCTCTTTTTTGAGTCTTAAGAGCAGAAATGCGTGCTTTGGGTGCATTAAATGATAATTACCATAAATACAAGGATACACCTGAAACTCTACGTTGAAAAGTGCCAAACATTAAGTCAGCCCAGACTGAGCGACGACAGGGAGCTGACCCCATGATCCCGACGTGATAAGGTGCTCGGCAGGGAACCCCCCACTACAAGTAAAATTCCACTGCCGGTGCGCTGTGGAGGATATGTGTCGTGATGCAGTGGAATCAGACACTTGTCAATCATTGGGAATATGCAGTTATTGGTATAATCTTAAATTCTGTTCATATGTCTTGCTTTTAATGAAAAACCCCCCCATTCATCTATCTTGAAAAGAGATGGATGTGCTATTGAATCTTGTTGGGGTTGCCTGATGTCAGAGGTAAAATGTGTGAGAAAATGGTTGCCATAGTTTGGTGTAGTGTCCTTGGAAACCACAAATCTACTTTTTGTGCCTTTCATCAATGTTTCCTGTAGAATCCACACAGACATGTGTTTTGAAAGGATATAAAAGGTGTTTAGCCCAAAACAAAAAAAAAAGCACTAAAGATTGGCCCACGGGTAGAAAAATATCTTCAGTTTCATTATTTTGTCAAGCGCTTGATGACACCACAATGCCACACCTATGGTATGCCAGGTATATTGACACACACACACACACATTCACACACAAGCCTGTGTGCTTAATGAAGTTTTTTTTTCTTTTTTGGATCGGTAATTTCTTTTAGTGACATAAATCGAGACAATTTTTGTTCATGCTTTATCATGGACATTCCTTTTGCTGATTATCTGATTTTCAGGTCGGGAAATCGGGAAAAAGTCGGGAATTTTGAGATGGGTCGGGAGGTCGGGAAAAAGTCGGGAATTTTGTGATGGGTCGGTAAGTCGGGAAAGGATAGGGCCTTGTGTAATGTGTAGCTATCTAGACTGTATGGTTGATGAATCCTGAAGAGGAAACGTAATTGAACCGCTGTGGCGGAAGTGTATGTGTGACACCGAGGCTCGATCGGGAAGAATCAAGATCTACTTTTGCTTTCGTTACCGCCCAGAAATTTTCAGGTAATAGTCTGATAGATAACGCAACATTTGTAACATGCAGGTTATGCATTATGAACGCTGTGACGCCTTGAAAATAAATCAATATTAAAAATTGCCCTCTGCTGTCGCTTGGGGGAAAAAAAAGAAAAAGAACTTATACAAGCGTCTTGACAGGTTCGCCCTCCTGACCGTTCAATGAACCTGTGAGTACCGGCGGTCTGAGCGCTGTGAAGTATAGGATTCCTTTATAAGATACACTCGTGGAAGGGGATTGGTTGGGGGGGGGGGGCCTGAAGGCAACGCTAGAGGACAAAAACTGAACTTGGAAGCAAATTTTTAGCATTTTGATAACTACTTTAGAGCTCTCTGCAAAGCGCGCGTTGGTGCAGGCCTTGTGTGGAATCGGGATCCGTAATGCCTTGTTATTGAACTAAAGTGTTCGCGTTTCATTGGATGGGGTGATTGTAATTTATATCTAGATCTATATTTTAATTTAGCTTTCTGTTCAAGATTGACAGATTTTCAGTGTCACTGCATCTTGCCCTCCCTCAGTTCTTACACCTCTCACACTGAATAGGTGTACTTGAGCCATTCTAGTTATTACTAATATTACTCTTCTTTGAGTTTGACTGGTTATTGACAGTCGATATTCTAGTTCTAGGTCTTTTCTCAGGCTCAAAACAGGATTCATTTTTTTATATCGGGCCTATAGTTTGTTATGTTGGCTAATATGATGAGGGGAAAATATAAATAAGTAAGAACAGACTGAAATACCAAAGTCTCTCAAGATCCAAGTGCCACACTGACATTTTGTTGACTGGATATAATGTACCTACATGTGTGTGTGTGTGTGTGTGTGTGTGTATTCACAAACATATACATGTATTATATTAGATATAAATGGAGCACACGCTTTCATTGTTATGTAACATGTACCTGGAAAATGGATGAGGCCCCTCCCTTGGAAAATTGAGAAGCTGGGTTGGCAGTCACCCAGTATTATAGTCATCTATTGTTTGAAGACTATACTACAAAATGTACATTTGCATTCATTGATAGACATTTTGACTTTTTATCATTGATAGATGGGCTTTTTGGGGATCATTCTTGACGCGCAGCGCTTTTTCATGTACATTAATGTGTTTTTGTATTTCTCTTTTCTCAAACTTTCCTGTTGTTTCAGGGAGCGCCCAGCCTGTATTCCAGTAGATGTGAAGGGCATCGATGATACCTCTAACTTTGATGAATTCCCAGAGATTGATTTGAAACTTCGTAAGTATTTTTGTATTCTTTTTTCTTTCAGTCAGAGATTTTTCTGCTTTCCTTAAGTAGGACATTGTGCCCTCCCTCTCAACCAGACATTTTTCTCTTCCTCCCCTCTCTTAGACATTTTTCATTTCTTTCATTCCCTCTCAGCCAGACATTTTTCTCTTCCTCCCCTCTCTTAGACATTTTTCATTTCTTTCATTCCCTCTCAGCCAGACATTTCGTTTCCCCTCTTTTCTCTCTTTCTCTCTCTCTCTATCCCCCCCTCTCTGTCTCTCTTTCTCTCTCTCAGCCTGACATTTTTTATATTCACCCCCCCCCCCACACACACACACCATTTTTCTATTCTTTGCCCTTCTCTTATCAGTGCTTGCGGACTTCCGCAAATTAGCAGAATTCCGCAAATGGAAAAACTTCTGTAAAAATTCGTGCCAGAAAAAAAATGAATTTAAAAAATATTATTTTCAAAATTGCTAAATAAAAAATTTCTGTAATGACTAATAGTCAACAATAGCCAACCCATACTGGAAGTGCTCTTTTATTTGAAAGTGTAGACAGTGTCTTCTACTTTCACTTTCTAAAGCACAAAGCAGAGCACCAGCTCTGTAAACAAGAGGAAGACATGACGATTGTGGTTCAATAGATCTTGGGCCTGCCAAGAAAAGAAAACTCTGAAGAAAGCTTGATTTTTTCACCAGACTTGTTTATTTGTACATATTGTTACGGATTTAAGTTGAATATAAGCTGTCAAGTTATTTAGATCTAGAATCTAGGTTCTAGCTGTTTTACTGTTATAATAGGATTCTACATATTATGGTGCAAACCAGCACATGCAGAAAAAAAAGTTGAACTTTAACAGTCAAGTTTTATAGATCTATCTGTTCTACTACTGTTGTGGATGTACAGTATCAGTACAAGGGAGAAAGCATGGCTTTGGATATGGATTAACACTAGCAGAAAATTATGTATGCAAGGTATTTTTTTTTCTCACTTATTTTCTTGTTCAATTCAGGTTTGAATAGCCAGAAATGGCATACTTAGAATGCCCTGAAACCAAAAAATCTCTAACTTAAGGGGCACGCTGTCCCCACTTCAATCCCCTGGCAGGGCGCTGCCCTTGACCCGAAAATCCTTGAAAAATGTTATCAGCTGCTGGAAGCTCTGTCTAATCCAGATTTTTTTCTGGTGGTTTTCCCCTGTCTCGGCCAGACAGTATTATGTGCTCTCCACCCCCCTCCCCACTTATTCAAATATTTTTCTTGTGTTTGCGCTGCCCCGCTCTGCCAGACATCTTTCTGTTGTTTCCTTTCCGATTGCATCATACTTGAAGTCTGTTGTTTATCATTTACTGGGCCGTCCTGCTCAGTTTGTCTGTGGGTCCATTCAGCTTCTAACCAGACATTTTTCTCTCCCCCCCACAGCTTCCCAGCCGGAGGAGGAGCCACGTGAGGTCAAGTACAAGGACTGGGTTTTCTTCAATTACACCTTCAAGCGCTTCGAGGGACTCACCCAGCGGGGGCCTCACCCCTCGCACCCTCCCCTGCACAAGAGTTGAGGTGGGGGGGGAGACAGGGAGGGAGACAGAGAGCTGGCAGAGCTGCAAGTCTCCACCACTCAGAGTTGGTCCAACAGTACCACACCTGCCCACCCATCCCCTTTCACTTGTATTTCAGAGCAGTAAAAGCTGTGTGAAGTCTTGATAGAGTGTCAGGTTCTGGGAGAGTGGTGGCTGCATGGTGTGTGTGACGAAGGATTCTCTCTGTCCAAATTCAGCTCTGTCCAGCCAGTGCAATGTTTCATACTCTTCTGTGCAGATTTTTAAAAAGTCTTTTCCAAGCTTTGATTTCTTTTGTTCGTAGGTCGTTGTTGGTGTCTGGTAGAGGAGGTGCTGCCTGGAGAACTGAATATCGTTTTTGTCAACTTTTGTAAGAGTTGCTGTGTAGAAAAAACTGAGAACAGTCGCAACTTTTTGAAGAGTCTTAAGGTTGGAGACAAAAATGGGAAATGTTAACTTTTGTTACGGATTTGATGCTAATGTTTTGAGAAATAAAACCAGAAACTTTGGAAGAGGTTAGAGGTTGCTGTCCAGAGTACTGAAACTTTGTAAACTTTTGGTAGTAGTCAATTATTGGAGAAAAAAAATTAAACTAAACGTATGCTCAAGTTTGAAGTTGATACCTTTTTCGAAATAATTAAAGTTAGTTCCATTGTAATGAGAGAAATCAAACCATTTCCTGGCAACTGTTTCGTGGAGTTGAGAGGAGCAGCCCCCCCAAAAAAGGCTGTGTCAGTTCTCCTGGTGGTGTGTGGGTGGACAGAGCTTGTAGCAGCACTGCTGGCTGGCTGTGGGATGTGTTATCGACTGACCTGGGGTGGTCAAGCACGGCTCCACTGTGTAGAGATTCTGCTCTGTTTGGAGCAGACAAATTGTGTACAGGCTGCAGACAAGTTGTAGTTTGCTGTAGATTATTTTGCTTTTTATTTTGTTTTGTTTTCCACCGTCTTTTTTAAATTTCCCCGCATCCCCTTTCTGTTGCCACTGGCTCTTTATTCTCTGTGATCTGTCGTAGTTGGTGATGAATGTCGGTGTATGTGAGTTATGGTGTTGAGGGGAAACTATCAGTGGAAAAAGTGAGATATCATTTTGAGCAGAAATGGCCATATTGGAGGTCATGATGTTGAGGGAAAAAGGCCGATTTAGAGAGTAATGATTTTGTTGAGGGTAAATGACAGTATTAGAGGTCATCATGTTGAGGGGGAAAGGCCATAGAGAGTTGTGAGTTTTAGTAGAAAAATGGTCGTATTTGTGAAGTTATGTGTTGAGAATTTTAAAGGCTGTACTGGAAAAGTGAGTTTCGATGTTCTTGAAAATTGAACTCGATTTTAACTTGGGTAGCAGATGTGAAAGTGTTCATTATATTTTTGAGTTTTAGAAGAGAGAGAGAGAGAGATGATTAAAATGTGTTGATCATGTGTGCTTTTTTTTCTGTATTCCAGAGAGTCATAAGAACTCGTAGATGATTTTTCTTTTGTTCCATGCTGGTGTGAAGAGATTTTATTTGTTCACAGTCTGTTTAAGCGCTTGCGTCATGGAGCCGTTTTGTTGCTGTCTGCCATGTAGAGTGCTAGCGAGCGAGCGTGTACGATGATGTCTAGCGTGTGCAATGATGTCTAGCGTGTACGATGATGTCTAGCGCGTGCGATGATGTCTAGCATGTGCGATGATGTCTAGCGTGTGCGATGATGTCTAGCGTGTGCGATGATGTCTAGCGTGTGCGATGATGTCTAGCGTGTGCGATGATGTCTAGCGTGTACCAGGCGGCCATGTAGAGGGTGTAGCTCTGTACCTAGGTCTACGGGAGTCCTTCGCTCCACATTTTTATTATTAGATTTTTGTTGATTGCTGTTCATAGAAATGTTTGATTGGTGATGATTATTATTGTAAAGTAAAAACAAAGCTCTGTGATTGGCTAGATTTCATTGCATGTGACGTGTATCCCAACATTCCAGGTCCTTCAACACTGTGTCCTCAGAATCCGGCCTTTCATAAAATGCTCCGACTTGCACAAGTACGTGGCCACTCGCCTTTTTGTGGTCAGTACGAGTGTACGTTGGTCATTGAACTTTCATTATGCTTCTATGTGTGCCAGTGTGTACGTGTCACCCGCTTTTGTTACTGTGACGTGAACTTGACATAATGACTTTTCGTGACTTCATGATGACTTTTGCTTGGTGGACAGACCTGACTTAAAAGTGATTTGGCTTCGACATGACTAGTTAACCTGGGTCTCATGTCCTGACATGACTTGATGACATGGTTTAGTGGCCAGACATAACTTATTGACTTGGCTCAGAGACCGGGCATGACTTGGTGACATGGTTTAGTGGCCAGACATGACTTATTGACTTGGCTTATAGAACGGACATGACTTGGTGACTTAGCTTAATGGCCAGACATGACTTATTGACTTGGCTTAGAGACCGGACATGACTTGGTGACTTAGCTTAATGGCCAGACATGACTTACTAAGTTTGCTTTGAGACCAGTCATGGCATATATTGACTTAGCTTAGGGGCTAGACATGACTTACTGACTTAGCTTAGTGGCTAGACATGACTTACTGACTTAGCTTAGTGGCTAGCCATGACTTACTGACTTAGCTTAGTGGCTAGACATGACTTACTGACTTGATTTGGTTGTCCGACAAGACTTGATGACTTGGTGGTGTAGTGACTAAACATGACGTAGTGACGTGGTTTAGTGACCAGACGAGGTTTCATGGGCACAGGAGATTTTTGTGGACGGACACACACACTCATTGTGACTCAGTGACTGGACTTGACTTATGTCTAGATGTGATGACCCTGACATGACCTAATGAGTGGGCATGATTTTGTCCTGACTATCTGGCCAACTGTTGTAGTCTGTAACCTGTCTGGCTCGTGGGTCTTTACAACAATAAATGGAAAGTTTGTTTGGTCTTGTACGGGGCTGAATGACACATTAATGTCCCTCATGTTGTGTTGCGAGCTGCCTTGTATTTAGATGACACATCTGTGTCTTTATTCTGTATAAAGCGGGTGGTGTTGCGCCTCATGAGGTACATAATTGTTGTTGTCTTTGTTGCAACACTTTTCCAAATGACACTCAAATGTCACCATGTTGACCTCCGTGTGGCAGAGAGCTCAGGTTTCTGTCTAAAGATCTTGTGACCTGTTTGGTCTTTCCACTCTCAGCTGCCCTTGTCGTTGCATCACGGGTGGAGGTTTCTCAAATTGAACAGAGTTTGTTTTTAACCTGAATTTTTTTGTTAAAAAATTTTTGTTGTTGTTAGGATGCCTAAGAGAGTGAGAATCTAGTGACAAGTGGAGTGTGGAGGAAAAGTAGGATGGGAGCTGTCGATGTCCACTGGGGACTTGGTCATAGGAGGCGAGTGATGAGGTCCTTTCACCATTATGGAAACGTTGTTGTCGTTGACTGTGTTGTCAGTTGACTGCCAGGTGACGTTATGTCTGTTGTTGTTGGCAGGATTATTAGATTACATCCAGGAACACTTGGAGCTGTTCCCTGCTTAGGTTGTGATTCCGTTTCTAGGAGGAATTTTCCCACGGGTTTTTCCAAGGCAGACTTTTGGTTCTCCTTTTGACCTCTCTGTGGTAAGAGGGTGCCAAGGTAGGTTCTACTTGTCTGTCCCTCTGTTGTTTCTATCTGTCTTGTCTTACTTTTTTTAATGGTTGGTTAGTGGGTGTTCTGGTGTGGTCTGCTCCTTCCTTCTGTTATTCTGTAGTGACACTTCTAATTTTCAGCGCTTTTATTACCCAATCGTGTTGCAAGTGCTGTAAAACTAACTGAAACAAGCAAGATAGGTGTTATGGTTCTGACGTGCTTCTCTTTCATCTATCTCCTGCTTTTGTTCTTGCTTGTTCCCCTGCTGACCTCCACAGTTCTTCAGTCTTTTTTTTTCTTGTCAAACGTGTATCCTTATCTCTCTTGACCTCTATATGTTTTGCAAGTGCCGGAAAACTCTTACCGGTATCAGAACTAAACTAAACTGTGTCATTGAGAAATGCCCAAGTGTTGGAGAAATCTGTGTCTGCAGTTTTTGTCTGTCCGGGGGAAGGCCACTCTGTTAGCTCAGTTGGTATCATGTTGGACTATGGAGCAGGTGACCGTGGTTCAAATCGCAAACTGGGTGTACTTGAACTTGAACTCAGGTTTTTATGTGGAAATTTCCAGGCTCTTCTTAGCCCATTTTGGCTAGGTCCTATCAAAGACTGACCGTGGCTCTGTGTCTTAAATACGGTAACCTAATTCTGTTGGTAGGGACATTAAATCATACACTTACTTTTTTGTCTGTCATGGGGAAGTCTGCCTTTGAAATGTGTCCTTGTCTTGTAGCAATTTGTTTTTGAAATGTTTTCTCGCATCTTTGGGAGTCTGCTCCCTCGTGGGTGATTTGTTCTGGAGAAGTTTTCTCTCTTTGGGACAGGTCTGTCATTGTTTGTGACCTCATGTCCTTTCCATACAGCAATTTCTTTTGTGAACTGATCAATCTGAATGGTTGGAGGGCGATACTGATAGGTTCTGCTTCTTTTCTTTCAAGGCTCTGTTGGTTCTGATTGTTCTTACATTACTCTTTCCCTGTGTGAAATACCAGCAAAGATAGTACATTACAAGATGGTCTACTCAGCCAAAAAAGTGTCCGCGGAAGTCCGCTCATTGCTTCAGATGGCTCTGCAGTCTTTGTTTTAAAGCTCTCTTTCGTTTCTCCAGAAGAGGAATAGGAATAGCACCCCCTTGCATACGCAGATCGACTGCTGTTCATCAGCTGCTCGGGTTCGTTCAGTGCAGAGTTTTAGATATTTATTGTTTATTGACCTCTCACCTCTCATTTTAAAGTCAAATTAAACAAAGAAAACTGTTGCCTCTTCCGATTTTTTGTCAGCGTAACCATTTTAAAAAAGCGTTCTTCCGAAATTTGAATTCTTATTTATTTAAAAACTTGCTAGTTTCACTTTTCTTTTTTTAACATTTGTGAAGAGGGCGCCACCGAATTTTGAGGACTCTTTTTTTTAAATGGCTCAAAGTGAGGAGTGGACCCTCTTGTTATGTAGACTCTTTGATGCCAGTTGTTGTGTGGCTGTGCTTCTCTTTCCTCAAACAGGCCATAGTTGGGGCATGTCTGGCTGTGTCTGTGACGTCAGTTCCTTCACATACAGACAGTACAGCAAAACACTCCCTTGTGGAACAGGTTCATGTGATCGTGAGTGCCAGTTTGGTTCTCTGTGGGTCCTCACTCAGTGCCACCACTTTGGGATCGAACTCTATGTTTTCTGCATACGAGGCGAGTTACTCAGCCGTAGCAACAGCTTATTTTTCTGTCTGTATGATGGGGTGGCTAATGTTTCTGTCTGTATGATGGGGTGGCTAATGTTTCTGTCTGTATGATGGGGTGGCTAATGTTTCTGTCTGTATGATGGGGTGGCTAATGTTTCTGTCTGTATGGTGGGGTGGCTAATGTTTCTGGCAGTTGTTACACAGTATGTATCTATTAGTTTTAATTAATGTTTCTTGCGGTTGTTGCACTGTGGCTATGTTTCTTTATGGGATATTTTATGGAAAAGGTTGAAATTATGCCATGTTCAGGAATATTTTTTTTCCAAATTTCATTGCCTCTTTGTGCATATCATTAAATTATTTCTTTACTAGAATATTGCTGCTGTGTTGTGTGTGTTTACTTGGTTGGAAGTACAGTTGGGCACAGATGAT